GACTATCAGATACGACTATCAGATACGACTATCAGATACGACTATCACATACAACTGACTATCAGATACGACTATCAGATACGACTATCAGATACGACTATCAGATACGACTATCAGATACGACTATCACATACAACTGACTAACAAATGTCGGCTTTCTTGGTCGATCTATTAAAGAGATGCAGCAGGTCTGCAGAGCTATAAAACCAATTCTCATAACCAAAATACGCCTTTGTTTTCCTGCTTTTCTATCTTTCTTGTAAGGAATTCATCTCTTGTCTTTCTCATTGAATGTTTTTGGACTTTTAAATGTCCATAAATGTATCGTAAACTTCGCAACGTTAAATTAAGCTAATTTCTAAACTTGTTTAATAGATAGAGTAAGTTAAAAATGCCGACGTAAAGAGTGTAAAGCTAAATATCGCACTAAAGCACCACATAGGCACGTCACGTCACGATAAGCTGAATAAAACACGATAAAAAGGCGATTGATACATCAGTATGAAAAGAACGTGTGCTGTGATGACTGTGATTCAGAAAGTCATGTTACTGTTGAAAACAGGAATAAAGAATGATGAACCGAAAGAAATCCTTCACGGACGAGGACGTAAGTGTCTCACAAATTAAAATACACTGTAAAAAAAGAAAGAAAAAAAGCGAAACTCATTTTTGGTCAATTACAATCGTTGTGTGATCGACGTAGGTAGAGAGTTGGCAGCAATAGCTCGTAACAACGAACAAGAGGATTTGATTTAGTTTTACCAATTTGACTAGGCATACAGTCGAAGAGAAAAGATGGAATATTCTTCTTTGGTACCTGTAAGTTAGCCTTGATTTACTCGCCGGACTGATTAAAGACAATATGTCACTGCAGTAAAACATGTTTTAACGAGGCTTACAAGGGAGGTATTTACAGCTAGGTTAGTTCTGTTAATAGTAACTCTAGACATTTCCCACACAAGGGTATCTGCATGATTACCCAAGGTCGTTAAAAATAGTTTTAAAATTAATGTGTTTGTTTCACTCACTCACGAAGTTTATCGAAAAGCCGAAAAAGTTGGTCCACTCAGCGCCTCAAACAAGACTTTCCAAGTTGATGAGCCTCCCAATGGGCATACAGGCAAGTGATTCTACCTTACATTAGAATCTTTGCTAACTGTAACACTACGCATATGCATGGAGCATGACATAGATTGAGGCTAACCGCATGGATGATGTACAAGAAACGATATCTAACGATAATAAACAAGACTGTTAGATAAGATAAAAATATTTAACCAAGAATATAACGATAAATTAATAATATGGGACTAATCCTAAAAAAAACTAAAATTAAACTATATAAATCTTACTAAAGTCACTAAAACACTTCACTCTAATTCACATAACATTTCAGTGCTCAATATAGAGAGTTCATTTGATCAAAAAGTGCATTTTTATTTTGTTATTTTCAGAAAATGTTGTCATGTATTTGACTTTATGTATATGTAGATAGAATCGTAAGAAAAGTCGCTTTACAGCATAGATGTTGAATACCATGCCCTCGGTGAAATGTGCCTCAGGCGATAATGGTTATACATATCACAGTCATTCTAATTTCTCAGGGAATCCATGTCCACTCAGCATCATTAAGGCATGGCTCTCAGATGAAAAACTGTTTAGCTATATCATAGCCAGTTTTCTACGAATCTTACCCAAACTTGGCAAGTTAATGTCTTTTGTAAAAAGAAGGAACCTTAAAGCCTTGGTTGCCATGGAAACTAAGTCACGTGACAACCAGATCGCCATCTTGGATTTTGAAACAAGCCTTTTGAAGTCCTATTGAAACTACTTCAAAAGTCCTGAAAATCCATATTCCTTTTTGTATTTACAATGCCTATATGGATCTAATTGGATGATCTTGGAAAATATTTTAAGTTAAATTTTTAGAATATTTTCTATGTTTTCCAAAAAATTGAAAATATTCTAAAAATTAAACTTAATATAATTTCCAAGATATCCAATTAGATCCATAAAGGCTATGCAAATATAAAAAGGAATATGGATTTTCAGGACTTTTGAAGTAGTTTCAATAGGACTTCAAAAGGCTTGTTTAAAAAATCCAAGATGGCGGCCTTGTGGTCACGTGACATGGTTTCCATGGTAACGCATATGTGGTAATTGCTTGCCTTGAAGAATTACTACTACGAGCCAAAATTGGGAAAGATTCATTATAAACTGTCAAAGATATGAATAAATAACTGATTTTCCATCATTTCCTCAAAAGAGCCATGCCTTAATGGTGCTGAGCAGTTGTGCCCAGTCATGTTCATTGTAATGTCTTTTCGCTCTTTTGTCTTGTACTGCTTTTGCATTAACTTTGCTGTTGTATTCTTGCCGGTCCTTAACTATTCCTTCATTTTTTTGCATTTAATGTTATTCATGTGATCATATTTTTCATATATACGCTGTCATTACCACCATTTTATGTCACGCATTATTACCATATATCTTACACATTACAACTTTTTATATCATTAGAAGGTAAACCAACTAAGTCTTTAAGGTTTCTAGTGTCAGAAGCCTTGCCAGGTCTGTCACTAGGTAGAGAGGGTCATCGTACGGTTTGGAACGTGCCAATTAGAGAAAGGACAGACAATCAGGACGAAGAAAATCGTAAGGGAGTAGTTGGTGAAATGGGCTCCAGTGATTGTCAATACGATATCAAGTAATGCGCGGAAAATGTAACGCAGATACCTCAGGTTATCGCTCTAATGAAGAAAATAATCATGATTGCCTAAAACGTAGTGGCATTTCATGAATTGGAATACCAAAACATTGCGACGTGACAATCACTAGACCATGTTTCATTCTCCTATTGAACCAAGGGTGGCACATGAGCAGGGGTGCATTGTAAGACAGGATGTACCTTATTGATGATGGTGTTAGTCTAGTATGATGGTG